AAAAAAAAAAAAAAAAAAATTCCCAAAACAGCGCTTTCCCAGTATCTCCAACAAATGCCTACTAAAAGCACTGAACAGTTGGATTACTGTCTTAATTCAAACAACAGCTCTATGCTTAAATTTTTTGCCCAGCAGGTAGAAAACATCATTTTACCACCCGATGTTCACACTGTATAGTTGGTAGTACTTGTACTTTTCTGCTATTTTACGGCTTCTATGAACTACGGTTTTTGTTCTGCTTTACATTCCTTATTTTTGGCCTCCACTCATAACAGGAAAAAAGGGTGACAAAGAAACTAAAGTGTCAATTGAAATTACTGTACTTTAAATCATTTGATCAATTAGCTCGTTCACTATTTCAAAATAGAACTTATAAAACGTCAAAAAACAGTGGCCATTTCTTTGGCATACAATTTGGTGACAGAAAAGTAATTTCTGTGAAATTTTGAAAAAAGCCTCATTCATTTACTTGACTATCTAACATCTAGCCATCTTTTGGTCAAATTCTCTTATCTGTTAACAAAACCATATTTATATTTCAATATCAACTGTCTGTCAAACAACTGCTCTTTGACTGTATAAAACAGGCACAATGTTTAAACTCTAATTGCTATTTTCTAAGGTCGGTATATGTTGGTTTTACCTTTTTGCCTTGACAAAAATATGTCGATTAGTTCAGGCGCGTAATCCATAACAGTACGACAATAAAAAGTGAATAGTTAAGCTCATCAAAATCAAAAAATTTTTGTAATTATTCTGCAAACAGTTTTTGCGCTTCACTACTTACACAGATTTTAAACCATTTTTTTTTTTTTTTGATCTTTCATTTGACTCAAGACATTTCAACAATCACCGCTTGTCAATTATTAAATCAATGATAATCATCAAATGTTTCAATAAAAAACTATAAAAAAACCAGTTACGAAGTGTAGTAATCAGATTATCAAATATACAATTTAAGAAACTGCCACTTAATTACCATTTTTGGCTACAGCACTGTCGTCCGTACGAATACCCTCCCAGGAGACGTTGAGCCGTTTCAGTAAGTCCTATTTTGGTTAACTCTACAACACCAACGCAACCAATTAAGATACTGGCTTTAAATCGCCTTTTGTTTACAGTATATGTGTTTTATCAGTCTTATTGTTTCTGAATTTAAAGAGTCACTTCATTTCGTTCCAGACTGAAGCAAGCACTTTTCATGACGTCCTCTGGCAGTACTGCGCCGAAGAACCAAACATTTCCCTAAGCAAATATCAGATTCTTTTCCAGAATCCTCAGCAATATTTGAATCCATTCCAGTAATTTTCTGCCACCAAAAATGATTCTCTCCCCGCTACACTTATCGGTTCACGTTAGGCAACCATTAAAAAGGAAGAACTTCAAACGCAGAGCCGCTGGTCTCCGTCCCCTCTCAACATGCCCACCACGTCCGTTGGAAAGCTGATGTTGATCATCCAAACCATCTTCCTACATCGGTATTTCTTTCCGGCTGTTCAGCTTTACAACCACGTTGTTATTACCTTTGGCAAGTGCCAATGACAAATCAACAATACTTTAAGCACTGACACGAGATACATACATTACGTAATAAAATCTTCTCACGGTTTGAGAGCCTCTAGTAGCGATAGATATTAAATGATCTTTCTATATTCCTTGAAATCCCATTAAATTTTTTACAACCTGCTGTCGTATCCATTCTCAAGCTAAAATATAGAAGCGTATAATGCTAAAAAACAACTCGCTTTATTTTTCTAGCAGAGGGACTAAGAAGCGATACGCATACAGATGCATGTGCCCATTCTCTCTGCGCTAAAATATGAAGTTGCGTGAAGAGCTTAAATCCGGGCAAGCGTTTTGTGCTTACCTCTTTTTTAAATGAATTAGAAGTTATGAGTGAATTGGTAAATATATGTCGTTCCTGAGAAAACTATAAGTACATACAGGAAATAGTCATGAAATGGTAATAAAATCTGGTAGCATTTGAAGCCCTTGACTTAGAGTATCTCCTTCTTCCTCTCTGAACTTACTGTTCTGAAGCGAACAAGTGTAAGCACAGGTGATCGCAACGTAATATGAAGTAATCTCATCGTTACTCTCATGAAGTTGAGATTACGTGATTTTGTATGCTGCGTTTTGCTCCTTGCCTTGCAAAGACCGGAAAACCGCGGACTCTTAACTGGCTTTCGTTTTATCTCGCTTGGTCCAGTTCGCCTTTAACTGCCACGCTTCAGTGTTTACTCAGCCACCAAAAAACGGTGAAAACATAAAAAATCCGGCAAAAAAACGTTTAGAAGAACGAATATACTGTAACCGGTGAAACGATGCTCGAAAGTAAAAAGAAAATGCTTTTGAGCTATATTTCCAAAAATTATTTAGCTATCCTACTTGGACCTCCCTTCCACTCTTTCACCGCACAATCATCATAGTACCGCGAGCATCTTCTACCGTTGTTGAGAGGTTGAGACGAAGAACAGGAACCACTCCAATCAAACTAAAAGATAAATTCTGTATCAGCTGCTTTAAAACTGTAAGTAACCTCTTTAAGATATATGAACCTGGAAAAAAAGGGGTCCGCACGTAACAAAGGAGGTAATCGATAGTAACAGAGCACTTGAGTGAAAACACGCTAAAAGCTTTTATTAAAGCAAAATTTTACACTGATCCCTTGATAGCTAGAAGATCACTCATTTGCATTTACAGGCATTGGCTACAGACATTGTACGGCGCCTCTATTGTATCACGTGGCGCCACTATGGTACCATGCGATCGGACACTAATCTTGTAGCTTTGCACTTTCTAAGCTAAATTGGCATATTCCCTAACACTGCAATCCATTCAAACAACGCGACACAGCCTTTCAGATCCTCCAGAAAAACCACTTTACGTCCTAAATTGAATTATTAAAAAGGGCCTGCATCACTGAATCAGATACTTATTCACAGCGCAGGAAAATACAATAGAACCCAAATGAGAATGAAGCTAGTTGTGATAAAAAAACCTTTTGCCTGGCCCAAAGACTCAATTTCTTCCTATCACTGTAAGCGTTGGCACAGAAAGCTCCTCTTTGAAACTGTTAGCAAAGAGAAGAATAAACAACAAACTACTATGAAAACTAGCAAAACCCACTCACTCCAAACAGTACACATACTTTGCGACCCAATAGTCACCCTAAGGTACTAGGAACTAGCGAGGCTACTGAGCACCGTTTGTCGCTTGCAAACTGATCTAGCAGTCTTATCTTCTATAAAAATGCTATTAACGTAAAAAAGCCTGATTCAAAAACCTATGCACTCCTGCTCCTCCACCCGCACTTCATTTCTCCGTACACAGCTTAACGAGGTAACACAAACAACTACTGCTATAACTCCAGCCCTACAGACAATCGCAGCAAAGCGCGATGCTTCCATGTCATCTTTACAAGTGCACGTAGAGTACAACCTTCCAGAGAAACTTCCTCTTCCACTGCATATTCCTGAGAAGCCTCGCCTAAACCAGCTCTCTCTCCATACCAATCGTTAGCTAGCAACATTTCGCTACACCTCGCAGGGATTTCCCGTCTCTCAGCTGAACTGAATAGCTCACCCCTCGATAGTTGACCAATTGCAACTTGCCAATATTTTTCTCCTCATAACACACTGTACACAATACCCTTGCACTGTTTACTGTGCTGTCTGGAACCAACACTGCACCATATGCCTCACCCGCAATGCCTACAGTCCCGAGCCGAAAGATCACACTTGCATCACTAGCACTGTTGCCATGTAATGATTTCAGTAATCATAATTTTATGACCAACAAAAAACACTGCCGCGATCTTGTAAAATTAACCGCCCGGCACGGAATGCAGATCCTACCCAACTTCTTCCTGGACAAACAAACTCAGCAGCACCAAACACTATTGGTATATGAACGACACCACGAAGAAAAAATACCGAAATGGTAGAAGTAATCTTCGTTTCTCTAAGCAAGTATCGTATTCCAGCAATAGCACCGTACTGTCTTCATTGACTGCCAATACAGTATCAAATGTTGAAAAAAAACCAATTTCTAGAGACGATTTGATAAGTGGAACAACGTAAGAGGAAGATCTGGTAAAGCAAG